TTCGATCGAAAGTGATAACGTATAGCCTAATAATATTTATGTAAGAAATGTTTATTACAAGCGGTTATTTACTCGCGTTTATGTTAGCGAAGGAGTTGAAGAAGACCGACGAAGGCCAGTAATATACGTTTATACTTTGTGACATATCTGATGATCATGAAACGATCTTATTAATCCACTTATGTTTGGTTCATTTTATTGGATTGCATGCTCTACAAAGAACGATTGACTACTTCATGTGTACTCATAGACTCACCTGCGGTGAAAGTGAAGGATACTCAGCGACCGTTTAGTACATGTCTCAAAACCTTCTGGTATCAAAGAAGCATCCACTAAAATTCTAGTAATCAAAGTTCCTTATTATTCCTATCTTTCTCATCTATCTCATCTCATCCAATTACACTTTTCGAATAATAATTTTGACACCTATTCTCATCGTCAAAACTTTTATTTACACCTTCACTGTGGAAAAAGTGTCTGAACTAACTGTTTCTTACGGTGCTGATGCGGTATGGCAACCTGAACTAACATACGTACGAACGAACTATTCATTATTAACTCACGCTTCCGTTGAACCGTTTCACCTATTGTACTTTGGTATCAATGTCTATAAGATCTTTAGTTATTAGGTAGCTAACGCGTATTTTTAAATTTTGTCAGTTGCAGTTTGAGCTCTCCAACAAGTTTTCAGATCGCAAACCAATGATTTGTCTAGTTTTCCAAATGCTAGTGAGTGAACAATAAATGAAATGACAAACTACGTTTGTTTAAACTGGAAACAAATGAGAATTTCAATGTGTCGTTTATTCTTTTTTTTCAGATCAACAACTTCATTATGTTTTGATTCATGCCTCCGGTATTTCAAAAATGTAAACTAAATTTGCAAATTACATTGACGAGATTGTTATGAAGTCTAATAAAATAAATAAATTCGTTTCACAGCTGGATATCAATGCACATTTGACGATTTCATCGACTCAATGTAACCAATTTAAATTTTTCCATGAAACTTTTTATAATATTTATAAGTCAACATTAATGCTTCGGCCATAATGAATCAGTTTAAATCACACAAAATAATTTGGGTACTTTGAAGGATAGTCGTATTTTTACTAACATTGGTCATTCAAAAAGGTTTTTGTAATAAGCTTATATATACTTAATTACCTACGCTTACGTTTCCTATGACAGACTATTTTCATTTTTCTCCTGTCCACGCATTTGCCGACATAATTTTGAAACTTTTTTCTGGTTTCCAGTTTCATATTGATGAAGCTTTCAGATCGCTTTCTTTAGGTTGACGTTAAATTCACACTGTGTAATAAAGATATTGTTCAAGTTTGCGCTCTTTGTACTTGTATCGGAGGATCTTGCTGCCATTCTTGTTTTTGTTTAGGTCTAGAGCTGCAGAGTCTGTTTATATACGATTGGCCCTCACTTGCATTTCATGTTATGTGTGTGATGGAATGGCAGCTAATTGGAGAAGCAAAGATCATTCGGAGACATATTTGTTGTCGTCCCACTTAATCACACACTGATTTGTTATGTACAGATTTTATTTAAACATAAGCATTTTTGCTCGAGATAACTAGGACCATCATTACGAACATCGATTCCCGAGGATTTTTATACTTAGATCTACTCGAAAGTATTCTTCAATGACAAAAGTTCAAATAAATAAAATTAACAATTCAGGCTTTGAGAATTTTAAGTGAGAGCTTGTTTTGTGATTCATTTGTGTACATATCTCAATGTGTGTCACATCAACATCCAATGCCTCCTATTTATTTCTTCTTTTAGTGGAATAAAGCTTGTTGTCTGCAACAGTAATTTATTGCTGATAATGTCTGACCTTGAAAAATGAATGATATTGAGTGGGTGGTTGATGATTGTTTCAGGTTTCGAAAGTTCTTCATCTATAGAAGTGCTTCCTCATTATCTACGAAAGTTACATCATCCGAACCAATGACGCTATCCAAATATGGACAGACTTTTATATCTTCTATACCTCCGTCATAAGTGATTTGGTGTGCGCATGTTCTCTGAGAGCAGCGAATCTGACTTTTCCATTCTAGTGTGTATTCTTGTACTCTTCTGTTTTTTTTTGTCGCGTGTGCGGTAGAAGAGCCTGGTTACTTGTACTGTACTGTTTGTTTATTGTTTCATTGATTCTTTCCATTTGTGTGAGTCTTCGTATACGTTTCTCTCTATTCCAAAGCTGGTAATAAAGTCTCATTGCTAAATGGTCGAGTGTGAATCTCTCAACGATAAACCAGTAACTATACTGAAACTATACGTGCTTTGTCAGTCTTCGTTGAATGTGTTTTGTTTAGTCACTGTACATCTAGGTAGTGCCGAATAATTTCTGCCATAAAGTCGATGAATCCCCATCGCTTTTATACTACGAACATTACACTAACATGGATTTATGGCTGCTCCTGTTGGTGAATCACAACTGGCGACGGAATATTTGATTTTATCATTCAAATTCACCTCACGAACATAAGCCTGACACTATATTTGCATCACTAATCTTAAAAAGTCGCTGTCGAGTTTTGAAGCGAATACTTGCGTAGTGAATAAATAATGAAGACTTTTTCTCGAAATATTATTCATTAACATGATAGGCTGCTTTGATCCGCTTCCTTATCTTACTAAAAAATACGTCTTTATATGTCGCAATAAGTGTATTCTACAAGAATCGATAATCCGTATTTCTACAGTCAGTTTGAATAGCGACAAACATTGAGGTAGTTGACGTCCACAGATCGGAGGACCCTAATAATCACCAGTAGCAGTTGATCAATAGAATGAGACCAACAAAAGTAATTGTTTCTTGATGTTCGATCAACATATTGAATAGGCGGTAATTTCAAATCAGATAAGGGTTTGAATTTTCAGACATATGTACTGACAATACTTTTTCGTGTCGCATATATTCAATCATGCTGAAAAAAACTGATCATTTGTTTGCGTCTCTCTGAATGATTTATTGTGACTGTTTTTATCCCAATCACTCAGCAGCATTACCGGAACATATAACGAGAGCGAGGATAAGCGCTAGAATATCGGTTTCAAAAACCTGAAATGAATAAGTATGTCATATTTTACCAAAATCGATTAGTCTTCCAGTGCACGCGTGAGTCACTGGCATCACCATTCGCGATTCATTGTGTCTGGTTATAACTCACTCATTAAAGATAATGAAAATAACAGGAATAATCAAAAGCGTTTGTCACCAATGTTGCTTTTAATGGGCTTTGAGAAGTAGTTGAATTTTTGTCGTTTGATGACCGTCAAGATGCTTTTCACATTATCACTCATATCTCAAACAATGCTGGTCAACGCAAGATCCAAAGTGTCATTGATGAGAATCGTGTTTCAGTGATTTGTTGTTAAGTAACTTGAAAATGTTCACACCGATACAACCATTTTGTGGTAGATTCCACCTGATTTGAAGGATTAATTTTAAATGCTTCAAATCAGTTAGACAAATGTACTAAATGAATTTTGAAACAGCGAAAGTTTGACAAAAGACACATTATTCGTTCTTTATTATTTTACGGATTTGTCTTTTGGTGCAGTGGTTTATACACAAATCGGATAGTTCGTCCGTTAAATAATTATCTTTCATCAGTTAGTCTTCGTTTCATAATTTAATGTAAATATCAAAGCGTTTATATTGGAGAAATATAATTACTAGTACATGGTCACATTTTCGTGCAGGTCTTAGTTACAGCTCTACCGCTGCCATCACTTAAAAAACCGACACAGATGGACATCCGATCAACAATCTACTGACTATACTTCATAAAACGTGCTAGAAAAATTTAGTTAAATATACGCTTACTGTCGATCAATGCAGAAGACAGCCTTAACTTCTAATCGCATCCATACAACCAGAAACAGCAAACTGATCACTTTTTACATCTTCTGAATTATTCCTCTTTCAAATTATCTTTGAACAAACATGATAGACTTCTAAAGTGTTATGTTTCTAATATATCTGAACTACTAATCACTAGTTTGATAGAAAACTTAGAAAGCACATTTTCATCATATGGAGAGTCAAAAAAATGTTGGTAGTAACCTAGTGTAGTTTAATAATAATGGCGAAACGAAATATACTGATGACATTTTATGACCACTCTGGGATTCTAATATGTATTTTTTCGTGTCATATTAAGTAATACATTTGATTATCATATCTAATTGTCAACAGAGTATGCTTTTATTTGCTAGAAATGAAATGAAACAAATTAAATAATCTGTTCATTGTATGGATATTATCACATGATAAACAGTTGCACTGTAGTTGACGATAGTAAACATTATGAATTATTAGAGTGAGCGGAACTTTTTTTCAGTTTGACATTAATTGACATTTTCAAGTCAAACAAACTAATGATTTTGACGAGATTGATAGCATAAAGTATCATGGAAATTGACCGCTATGTTGTTTACCTTTTCCGATAAACAGACAAATGGTGAACTGTTATTCTCATAAACGAATACCCTACGTTAAAACGCTTCTTTTTGTTTTAGATCACTCATTTGTGTGTGTCTTATCTTACATTTCTGCTCTTTTGTTTACATACGATTATGCATTGAACGAGGGGTAGAACACATATGAGTCATCAGTGGACTCCGGACAGAAATGTTGTAGCCACTGTTTATTAAAACCTAATGAATGAGAAAGTTGATTATTCTTCATTATTCTGGTCATTTCAATGGTTGCGTGTTTGAAGTTGCAAACATGATTATTATACGGAAAATGTTCTTTGGTGTGGGGAATAAGTGAAACTAACTAATTCTGTACATCAGTTATTTCTCTGTACGTCTGCATCAATGTCTATATTTTTACAATCTGTAATGTGGACAGAAAAAACGTATATGAATTCAAAAAAATGGATGCAATATAAATTTTGATTTTGGATATTTTTTCAGTAGTATATTGTAATGAAAAACAAAAATTGACAAATAACACATAAATATTTATAAAATCCTAAAAATAAATTGTACAGATTACGATAGCGCACAAACAGAAAAAATTGTACAATATACTAGAGGGACGTAATTTTGAATCATCGAAATGAAAAAGGGTCAATCTGAGTTTTCAGGTAATGCGAAAATCACCTGAATTATTCTTCGTTTACAACATAATAGATAACAAGAAATACTAAATCTTTGAGAGATGTCATCATTACGTAATCTACAAATCACTCTACAGTTTTACATATTATTGACTACCACATACATGGTGATGCGAAATTCACGTTTTTTTAATTATTAATAATGAAGATTAGGTATGGGTTTCCTTCTCCGTCTCTCTCCCTCTGTATTTCGTTTCGTTTCATTAAGGTACGGAGGAAAATAAAATAAACTCGGACAATTCCCCCTGTAACTGCAGTTTCTAAATGCGAACGATGAATTGAAGCAGAATCCTACTTCCTTCAAATCATATCTTAAGTTATCCTGATAAAATACACAAAAAACATCAAAAAAAATTTGACGTAAACTCAAACAAAAAACTACATTTTAAGGTCTACCATTTCTTACGATTTTCAATTCAAAAGTAATTCATAAGTATGAATATGCTCCCTTAAATTTATCTGACATTCAGTTCATTTGCACATATAACAGTTGAAAACACATATTCAATACTCATATTTATGTCCAAATGAAACTCAACCTGAACAATATTGTCTAAGATGTTTAACGAGATTTTAAAACTACTCACCCTATCACCTGACCATCTGCATCTTAGTCGACCTGGCCACCCGTATAGTTTTATCAGTATGTCTTCAAAATGTGTTCTCTGCAAAAATAATTATGAAAAAGCAGTAACACTGACACAAATTATTTTTGTTGAAACTATATTTAACATTGTATTTAACAAATTCACATAAGAATTTAATATCGGAAACGAGAAAATCAACATTGTATATAGATTTTGATGACCAGGTGACTGGTGCACTTACATTGTATAGTGTTATATTGCTTGGCGTAATGTTATACATCTGAAGTTTGCTGCAATTATTGCATTGAAAAAAACAATAAAAAGATGATCAATAATAATACTGTAGTTATTACACATACAAAAAAATAATCCCTTTTTACCGGTGAATCTCATTGTACGTAGTCAAATTTATGCAGGTATCTGTAGATTAATTACTCACTCCTCTTTTTCCACAGACACCGGAATTATTACATAAGTTTCACTGGTTATTTCATTTTGAATTATTGCTTGGTCTCTTTTTCTAAAGGTTAACTGAATCGGAGGTCAGTTATAAGTTAGCCGCTTAGAACGTTACAAGTAGATCGCGTTTTTGAAATTCTCGTGGTGAGATGAGAGTAAATTTGTTTATCTGTATTGCCTTAGTCCAAACCTCTTACTTGTGCATGTGGTTCATATAAGCATTAGTCGTTTTTTATCAAGTATTACAAACTTGTAAATAAAACCACCTGACAATCACTAATTTGTAAAGCTGATCACTGATACTTATATAGTTTATGTAAATAGAACGTCAACCACATACTTTAAAAGATCAATACGTTTATAGAGAGCAAGCGCAGCATTGAAGTAACCAAGAACGCCAACGATTAAAGGATCTTCCAGGGCGCACCTACCATGTATTCTATATTCATGACGCCTTTGAAAGTAAACAAGAATTCAAAATCCTGATCAACTTCTTTTCATTTACATTAACTGAAATCTACTTGTTACCATCATATTATGTTTTGTCAAGTAAGTTTTTGTGATGAATAAAGCTGTATTCAAATTCACTCGAGGATTCTGTAAAAAGAATTGAATCCAAAATCAATCAGTACATTTGTCAGTAACAATTATCGATCGCTATTATTGTCCTACCCGTACACTTATTCATCAGTTGTAACCTAGTTCGAGTTAGAATTGAAGACACCGCAAAAATATATCCACTTTATTTCATGCCTACCGATTTCGACCAAACTCATCCCGAAAACTTTTAGCGGTAAATATAGCCTCGGTACGTGCCTGGAAGCAGTGTATTTAGCATTTGTTGTGAACAAAGTCAAGAAATATAGGCGATGCTCAGATTGTTGTAAGAGAAGATATTAACCAATATCTTTATGTCATTGATGCAAAATCCACTTCACATATATTCAACTTGTATGTTAAAACGACTGAATGCACGATAAAACGTTCTATACCTAAATAAATGTGCTAAACTTTAGTTTTACGCACGACAATGTAACAGGTTTGTCCTCCCGTCAATTGAGAATAATGACAGACGCTCAATTTACACAACAGTTTTTTTGTTTCGTATTTTTCGTAACAATCACTTTGCTTCGACTTTTAAATGCAAACACGTATTCGCTCACAATTTACCAACAGATAAAAAAAACCTTCAGTGTGTATATAATACCTGTTCCATAATTTACAAAAAAATATAATCAATGATTTTTAGAAGAGATCACCAAGCAGATAATTTTCAAATGATCTGTTCTTAAGCTTCTAAAATCTGCGCTCAGCCTTTGAAAGTGAGTGAAACGTCAAAAACTGCATAGCCTAATTATTTAACTAAAGTGTTAACTATTTTTATAAACATCACTAAGCAAGAATATGTGTAATGAATTTTCTTTAGATATTGTGAAGCAATTAAAAAACAAGATACAACCATGATATACTAATTTAGTTCTTACCAAAATGTTGCTGTTTTGCTGAACATTTTTATACATGGCCATCTGTAGTCTAACTCCGGTCTTATTGGCTGAAATAGAACAGAAATTCATGTTACTTGAGTAAATCTGAATAAACGTTCAGTCGCAATGGACTGATAATATTCAAATACTGTGTCTAAAAATTTTAACGAAAACGCTGGCTAGGCAAAAAGCATTAGGCTTCAGAGTATTCATCTGCTTTATCAGTGTAAAATATGTTTTTACTTAACTTGTGAATAGAACGTGTGGCATCGGTAACTGCAGATAAATTGATCGTGGACTAGTCTCCCGTTTTCTTTCAATATCCATATAATGTGCTATACAATTTCCACTCCAAGGTAAATATTATCCATCGAATGTTCCCTCTTCACAACCCATTTTTTTAACTCCAGATAATAACTTCGATAAACACAATTTATTTGTAATTATCGAAAATTGTAACTTCTTTTTCGCAATAATTAAACAACACAAGGAATTGCTCAATGATAACCCTTTCTCAAGCGGTAAATTATATGGTGATTGTCAATTTATTTTCAACGTGCATCCTGGAATAACATGAAACAACAGACATTCTGAACATGAAATAAGCGAACAGTACGCTTGAATGGATAATCCAACTAAACAATCAACTGAACTTTCAATACAAAATAACTTTATCAAAATGCATTAAAATCTACTTTTTCTTATTTTAAACGATAATTATTATAAGTAACATTTTTGAGATCAGACAATGTTTCATCTGTTTATCATGCATATACAGTTCATTACAGCTCTATTCGGAAACAGTTATAAAGAAATGTGAATAGTGAAATAATGAGAAACAGGAGTACTGGATTCAACTCACGTTCAAAAGAGTTAGATTCCATTTCGTTGTCACATTACATTTCGGAGTTCCGTTTGGCCAAACTGTAGGCCTATGAAACAAACAACACATTTCCTAAAAAGTGATTTGTCTCTCTTCTACCAACAAATGGGTAGAAAATTGACATTGAAGATATCCGTAAATTTTCTCAAAGCAGAATTTTAACAGTATATCCGCTGTACCATTTGGGTATCAGCATGATATGCATTTTGTCCAAAATATATATTAAAACATTCAAGTGTTTCTATAATTTCTACAGAATGACAAAGCAGTTAAACGCTATATCGTATCCTTTAACATATCCAAGTAATTTATTCTCAATGATTAGAACACAAACAACGTTGTAGTTCGTGTCATGGTTCCCTTTTGAGTCAATTAATTAACCGAGCGTGTGGCTGCAGAAATGTTTTTTATACGGAATTACACTAATTTTTATTACGGAAAATCTAGTTTTTTCAACAAACTATCGATTTCAGTTTGTAAAGAGTTAATGTGTTGTTGTGTTCTTTATGACGCTTCTATTTTTCAGATTATCATTTTCGTGTTTAGTAACCTCACCTAATCTCAGTTTATATATCCATTTCTTTTCAAATAATATATTCTCGAGTCACTGTTTCGATTCATATGTTCAGTCTCAAGAAATAACAGCATCATAATCATGGTGAAACGGATCTGAAATTCTGCGACGTGAGAGAACGGAACGTTAACAATGGTACGTGTGTTTTAGTAACCAAACTTATTCGTGGTTCAAACGCTAATTCCTCTGAGAATCCAACTAATTCAACCACAGTTAATACCCTTAACTGAAAACCTTTGTTAAGTATTATGTTTCCGTGTGTGATATAAACATTTCATCATATCATATCATTAATCTAATGTTATATGCAGTTATCCTCTTACCACAATCCATGAATCACAAAAGAATTCACTTGGGGCGGTAAGTCGCACTGAAAATAAGAAAAAAACACAATGTTGTCTAGCGAGGATGTTCAATTGTAACAACATTTGTACATTTCAAGATATGAATCATGAACTTTAATATTGGAATAGACACCATTATTTTCCTACGTTATTCGATATGTTGATTATAAGTGACCTTAAAGTTTGTTCATCAACAAAGATCATTATAAGTCAACTAAAAACACATCGCAACAAGCGGCATGGTCAATCAACGATGCTATCATTTATCCTATATCCGATATGCTACATGTCTCAGTCCGCATCAGTGTATTTTTAATAGGTAACTCAACTCAACACAACTAATACCTTGTACACTTGTGATTTCGCCCGACCGTCAACGAAATAGTAATCAACAATAATGTGTAACTTTCATATATGAGTGATGGTCAATATCGGTATAGTCATAACGTTTATAGAAAATCTGTTATCAGGACCGAAAGCTAATTGTGTTGAAAATCGATTATAATTATTCATTTTTATTAAGAAACATTACTGAATACAAGCTATCTGTTCAGTAGTAAAACAGTATTACCGTATTTGGATAGCAGAAGGTTGGTGGCCACGCTAGGCTGAACTGATAGAAATCCCAGCTGAGCTTAAGAGATCCAACAGTCACAAGTGTGGTAAGTGCATTAACTATCATATAGGTGAGTCTGTAAATAATAAGGAAAGCAAGAAGTTGTCAACCAATCAAAACACCCTACAGAGTTCATATTTGAAACCCAAGGTTATCGCATTATTCAAATATTTATGGATAAAATGTTCTTTAGATATCTGAACATTCTAAATGATAGACGTTTCATAGCTGTTAGTAAAATAATACTGTAAACCTGAACAATTAACTTTTTTTAACCATCAGAATATGAATAGTGTAATGTGTCATATTAAAATATCGAAAACAAATTAGATACAGTAATATGAAGTACTTCTTCAAAAAAGATTGAAAGTACGAAATAAGCAAATCCACATCATATTCAGCATTACTTGTGAAATCTTATGTAAGAACAATTAACTTACAATGAACGCATTTTCAATCAATAAACGTTTTTATCAGTGAAGCAGAGAAACTGATTTGAAAGTGACAGAAAGAATGATCATTCTTGTGCATATATATACTACTGGATTATTTTAAAAATTTATCTAATCACGTAGGAGTATAAAGCCGGTGAAGAAAGTCGTGTGTTGTACTATCACACGATTGATCTATATATAATCACAGTTACAAAATTTTTATGTTGTTTTCATGATAATGCTGTCACTGTCTACAAAATTACACGTTTTTCTCAAATTTTCGAAAATGTTCAGTACGAAAGTGTGGAAAGAAATAACCAACTTTACAAAATTGAATAACTGGAGTAAAATAATATACAGGATCGAGGATTGCTTTATGAAGGATATTTCTCCAGTGGTTCAGTAAGCTGACAGGGACGATTTAGCTGAAAAAAGTAATTCGCTAAATGCTGCCATAAGTCTGAAGATGAGATTTGTTAGACTGTTCTGTGTTGTATTCATGACCACGTTAAGGAGTTTATTTGGAATATATGAAATCTATGTTTAGCCTCACATAATTTTTCTTAGTTGTGGTGAGCGATTTTCGTGATGTGCGTTCTGCCCGTCAATAGGTTCAAAAATCGTTTGTTTTTCGGTATCTGCAATACACCTATCGGAATGAAGATATGATAGGTATGCCAAAAAAAACCGGAAATCATCGACTGAATGTGAAATATTTTCTGTACTCTCGGTGGCATTTATACTGGAATGTTCATCAGTTCATTTTACTGATAAACTTACAAAACTAACTTTCATGAATTTGTTATATAGTTAACAGTTTACACTGAAAATCATTATCTTTTATTACAGCAAAAATAGGAGAAAAAATGTTCAGAAGTAGGTTTTCAATTCAAATGTTTCTCGATTACTGAAAATGTATTTCTTCGTAATTATATAGATGAAATGCATGATAACTGGGAATATTTTTCAGGATAAAATAATGTGCAACAAGTTCACTTCGATCAGCACTTTTCAACAGTACAACAGGAAATATACAATGAACAAGAAACACATAGTATCAAAGACTTGAATGACACAATATCATTGTACCTTTTTATGTGTTTATTATTTTGCGGATCTATTAATGGTATACATCATAAGTTAACGTGTGATAAGTAAAATTTCTGAATGTAAAAGGAATATATACTAATAGAAGATGTATTTTTCGTTAAATCACGAAGCCTCATTATTCAAGTAGTTCAGTAAACTCCTGTTACAAGTAAGAACAGTATTTATTATGGAATTAACAAAACTTGTGTTTTGTGCAATATAGCTAAACGTGAATGATTTATTTACTTTGATATCAGTAGATTGAACTATTCAAATCTGATATACTAAGGCAATCTTAATATAAGATATTATCCTACTACAAAATATGTGTTCTTTTACTAAGGACGATGAAATATCAGAAAAATGAAATGTCATACATATCATACAACCCAACAATGCTAACAAGTAGTCTGATAACATGTACCATGATAGCCAATTGGTTTACTGTCTGTTTTCCAATTCAGTTAATAATAATCCGATTGTAAATTTATTGAAAATATCATATAAAATGTACGAATAAGAATGCTTATTGCCCATATATCTCATTGCATGAAAAGTGACAGCCTGAAAAATCAACTGCCTTAGAAAGCTTCAGACATATCTTCAATTCTAGCATACCTTGCTATGACATGTCGTTATTTATTTCTAATACAGTATTAATGACCTATTTATGTCAGCTCATTTATACTTAATGATAAATGTTAGGTCTTAGCGAAACAATGTTTCATTGTACATGTCATCTGACAAAACCTTCATCTTACTCAGTGCAGATCAGAATTCAGGACTGTTATACATATACATTTTTAATCTGAAAAGCTAATATATTTATTTTCATTAGGTATTTTCTCATTTGTCACTTGCTATGAACTTTGATGATAACGTGACGTTACATTTAGTGTTTTCATTATAATACGAATTGTGTAACGTATTGAATACAGAAAAAAAATAGTAATCAATATTTATGCAACACGTCACGTAAATAAGAATATAAGATTAATTGATGAAGTAGGTTCAGAAATCTGAGGAAAAATGTTTTCACAAGAAAATGTAAATGTATTCTAAGAGAGCATCGCCAAACTATTTGTGTTCTAGTTTTATGATTCAATTGGCCGCTTTTTATTGGTACACTTTTCCTAATTCAGGTATGGTAAATCAATTGTAATAAATCATGAATGTTTATTTTAAACTCATATTTCATTGAAAAAGATAAGCGTTAAGTTCATAATCGGTTAAAATTCGTCCAGTAACTAGAATAATACATTCAAAATCAATGATATTATACCACTGTTCGGAAACCTTATGCTTTCAGCTACATTTCTCTTCCTAATTAGACATTTGTTGATGGTGTCTACATCCATGCTTAGAAATCAGATAAAATATCATTGATCTTAAATATGCAAACACGGAGTCAACAACCTGTATTTGTCATGTTTATAATTCCATGAAGCAATCATTTTTCAAAAGATTTTAATCAGTGATCTTGCGTGTTTGTTTTAATTTCGTTCCAGAAAACACAATTATAGCAAACATCGAGCATATACAATAAGTAATAAATCATTCAAGTCAAAGGAATTATATTATATCAATAAATCACTTGTATTGAGATCGTAAGTGAATTTATTGAAGTAGGAATTTGTAATAACCATACTGATTTCCATATATTTGTGTTGAGCCTACACTGAACATTTTAAAAGATGATGGAAAGCTGTTCAAATGTAAAAGGAACTTTTGCTTTGGTTAAGCGATTCTTTTACAAAACGAACAAACGAACATCATGTCATCTGCGTGTATATACTTTGCGTTTGCAGTCGTCTGTTTATACAAAGCCTAACTATATTCTGTCGACCATCATAGGATATAGTACCATAAATTTATTAAAAGCACTCAGTCAAACGCACCAATCATAAGATAGCCGATGAAGAAGAGCGTCGTAGACTGATGTAATATATTTATAGTTTTTAACTATTCTGATGATTTTCGTATTCAATTACATTTTGTTGGCTAATTTTAATAAAATGCTGACTACATTTATAAAGTTCGATATCTTGTCAGATACCTACATACTCACTGTATTCTTTCGGAGGCGTAGTCGTTAACGAATTCGAGCGGAAGACGCATGAATTTGCGCAACACAAGCAGGGTCTGTACGTGCAGCGGATCAATATGAAGGTTTAAGGAAACTCAGAATTCAAACTAAAGTATAAAATGTTCTACAAAATCTTGACCCAACTGGTGGCAGATGAACTCAAAAATAGGAATCTGGCACGCACATATACCAAAGCACTGACTCAAGAAGCGATGTTTTGTGGTTGAGTAGGTGGGAAGAATTGTTTGTGATTGCAGGTTCCTCGACTCTTACTGTTCTTCTACTATTTCAAAATTTCATACCACGGGTTGGTGTTGCCTTACCTTGTTTCTTTTCAATAGACGAAGCTAACGTTGCTTGTCCAAATAGACAGACGTCTAGCCCTATGCAAATCACACTGGGCACTTTCACTAACGTTCATATATCGATGATCTATTTTGACACTTAGGTCGGTTTTTACGTGGCGAATAATTATCAGATGAGATTTGACGTCACTCTTTATCTACCTATTATGTGGACGGAAATTATAAATCAATTCAGAATCTACACAGCAAACAGAAGTAGTCAGTTAAACGTTATAAACCATGATGCAGTGCAAAAAACTATGAATCAAATCTACTGTAAATAACTTTCTTACATCTGACTTGTCTTGAAATACATTCTGGTCGTGACTTGTAAAATGGTATTGATGGGTTTGAAACTATCAACATATAACATTGCCAGAAATGGGAGCTGGAAAAAGTTTACAATAAATTCCACAGTTAAATAGTATATAAGTTATATCTGAATGAATTTTATTTTGACTGGGAATGTCTGCACAGGTTTTGAGAGAAATCATTATCGAGTGAAAATAACAAATTGACGAATAAATCCTTCTACTATTGGTTTGTTTTATGGCAGGGTATAGATTGTACAATCTAGAATATTTATGTTTTAGGCAGTTCACTAAGGAGTAATGTCTAAGGTCAATAAATTTCTGCATTTCTTGCAACTTTTGTCACCTATTATGACATGAATGAATAAGCTTTTAACAAAAACTGAACAAGCTTGCTTACACAGAAACAAATGAAATGAGAGTTTTAATTGTTTATCCATTTCAGTTTAAAAGCCGTAGAATTTCGAAGTCAGAGAACTTGCGTTCGTGAATTTTGAGTGAATAGGGAAAACGTGTTATCATGTGACTGATAATTATCTTGTTTATGTTCATCACAAAATATGGCTGCACTTCATTCTCTATTGCTCTGAAATTCTCAACAATATAATTTAAGACAGATTAGTAAGTTGCAAATGACAGTAATTCAGCAGGAAATAAGTAATTTTCCAACATTTCTATTAGATAGTTATTATTGTAGAACGCAATTTGTGTTCAAAACATTTATTATTTGCAGATTTCATTTTACATCAGCATTATCTCTCAGTAAAACTAAAATCGTCATGAATGACATCGGGTACTGGATTTTTTTATATTTGTGTCTATTCAAAATGACAAAAGTTCAAAAAAATTAAATTGACCAGTGAAACGAATGGCCTGAATGTGTAATGTTTACTTCGTATTTTAATTATTCATTATTTTCCGTATTTTTCAATTTGAACTCCATTATATTTTTCTGGAAACATCACGTTCTATGTACAGACAATTTTTTTAAAGGTTTATATTTGAACTTAATGTAATTGAATTCATTTATACTTTCTCTTCAGTTAAGTTATTTAATTACAGGGTAAAACTTCGTACATGAAAATATAAGTTAGTTCGCCATATCATTTCAGTGAAGAAACGGAACTCTCATATTTAATCCTATGATATGACGCTGGAAGCCATGTTTCAAGCATTTGATTATCAAACGTATGATCATGGTTAAAAGCTTTGATGTAGATGTATAAA